TAAATAGAGCTAATGCAGCAGATTTTATAAATGCCTAAGTTTTAATATTTTTTTCTTTATTGATTTTAGAGAGAGGAAGGGAGACGGAGAGAGAGCTAGAAACATCGATGAGAGAGAATATTGATTAGTCGCCTCCTGCATGCCCCCTACTGGGGATTTGGCCCACACCTGGCCATGTGCCCTGACTGGGAATCAAACCGGTTGACCTCTTGGTATATGGGTCCATGCTCAACCACTGAGCCACACTGGCTGGGCGCCTAGGTTTTAATTTTAAACATATTATTCTACCAGACCACAGCTTTCTCATTGCAGATCAATTTTGATATTTGACACATAAGATTATTAGATATTCCTCAGTTTATTCCTTTGGCTGTCATGGCTCATTCTTTGAATAATAATTCAAAGCCATTCATGGGCCAAGCTCTCTTTTGGTTCTAGGAATGTAGTTGGTCACAAGACAGACAAGGTTCCTGCCCTTTCACTACAAACACTCCCATGGGAAAAACTAGCCAATTATCAAAACTATATATTTATATATCTATATCTATATCTATATCTATATCTATATCTATATCTATATCTATATCTATATCATCTATCTATATATTTATATCTATCTATATCTGATAGTGATAAGTGTTTAGAAGGAAATAAAGCCAAGCCCTATGATAGGGAGGGACCTGGGTCTCCTCTGGAGTAGGCAGCAGGGAAGACCCAGATGGCCAGCAGCAACCACTTTTGCAAAATCAGTGAAAGAGGATCCCTGGCAGGGGAACTGGCATATCTACCAGCCAAGAACCAACAAGCGATCTCTCAAGAAAGAGATCGTACAAAACAGATTGTTTTATCTAGACAAAATAACCTGGAAATAATCCTTCTGGTTAGGCCCCAATTCCATCCTCACACATAGGTCAACTACACACTGCTAGGTAACACTGGTTTTTTATTAGCTACTCACAAAGATTTCAGAAACAACAGAATTACCATTCTTGCATAGTAAACAGGAGATGAGTCTATGGGTGACCTGGAGAATCTTAGTAATATAGATGTGACCAGTTTGATAGTTAATAATTTAATTCTATTAATTTCAGTTAAGAGTTCATAGTTAATCCTCTATTAAAATCCCGAGAGAGGAAAAAATAACAGTAAAGATGACAGGAAGTCCAGCTTTTTGTTATCATTTGTTACTGAGAAAACATGCTACCTAAAGCACAGGTTAAATGCAGTTTGCTGTTCATGGGGCTTTATTTGGAGGACCGCTCTTCTGGAGGTTTCTATCATAAGTACATTCCAGTAGCACTGACCCAAGCCTGTTATTTCTACCTTGTAGTTTATATGTTTTTATTATGACGCTGATGTGTGCAGATGTGTTTTCTTCCAGGTTCTGGAGAGTGCAAAAGGTTGTAGGTCAGTTTATCTTTCCAGATGTAGAACAATGTAAAAATCCTCTAATATGTTGGTGCTTAGCAAAGCAATCTTAAGTTTAGCTTGCCTTTCCATGAGTAAAAGCAAGAAACAAACAAACAAAAAACTTAAAAATAAAATCATATATCATTAGCACAGAATAATACTCTTGAGCCTATGGAGAAAACACACACGTACACACTGTCCCTCAATTATGCCTCTCTCTCTTATCCATCTCTTTTTACAGTATTTCTTAGCTGTGCTTTTCCTAAAGTGTGAGAACATTTTGTGGTATTTTTTATGGGAGGAAGGATAATATACTATAGGTCTTTAATTCATAGTAACAGGTAGAAAAGAGAAAGATCAGTCCTTATAACTCAGCAATGGTAAGTGATCCAAGTTGCAAATTTGTCAGTAATTCAAGAATTTTTAGAAATATCTTCTTATTAACTTAATTAAGGGAGTAACCTAGTACATGTAACAAATTAGTTTCCAGCTATTTTTTTTTTTTTGTAGTTGGCTTCACTTTTGATTGATTGATTGATTGATTGATTGATTGATGCTTGGACCTGTTATATATTTTGAGTATCATCTCTGAGTACAAGGATGTTAATCACTAAGTTGTTATAATAGTAAATACTTGGAAATGTTCTAAATTCCACTGGTATAAAATTGGTAAAAAAATATATGCTGGTATGTCCACACAATGGATTACTAGAAAACAATTAAGATAATGATGCTTATATCTGTTGTAAAGAAAGAGCCCTGGCCGGTTTGGCTCAGCGGTTAGAGCATCGGCCTGCGGTCCGGAGAGACCTGGGTTCGGTTCCCGCTAAGGGCATGTACCTCGGTTGCAATTTGTTCCCGGCCCTGGTTGGTTGTGCGGGTGGCGACCACTCGATGTGTCCCTTTCACATCGATGTTTCTCTCTCTCTCTGTTCCTCTCTCTCCCTCCCACTCTATCTGAACAAAGAATGGAAAAATGTCCTCGGGTGAGGATGATAAAAAAAAAAAAAAAAAGAAAGAAATCCATGCTCATTTACTATGAGAAAAGTAGGGACCTGTTTTAATAATACATCTAGTTATATATTAAAAGATATTTCTAAGTAGAGGGTTATGGGTGATTTTATTTTAAAATATATTTTATTTGCAGTTTCATGTATTAACATATTTTTATAACCATAAAAAGAATAAAAATTTATTTCTAATTTAAAAAATGATATTGAGTATATCATTAGATATTAGCTTGAGGGAACATATATTGATAATAATGCTTTATGTTGTGAAATCTAAACATTCCATGGAAAATAGCTACAGTTTTTAAAGGAATGAGTTGTCCAGTCACATCACAAATGATAGCTTGTTCCCTTTCAAGCAAAGGGACCTGGCTCAATAAAATTAATAGGAGAAATTCAAATGTATAGAAAGTAGAGTGTTAATAAGGAAGGCATGGATAATTTTATGCTGTTATATACACATACACACCCAGCCATGGTTTTCATAAAAATAGTGATTGCTTGGTTCTGTAAAAAGAGGAAATATTTCAGGGTTTATGGTAAAGTCATTTTGGAGGTAGAGAAGGCTAGTTTGGAAAAGATTCCACATTTGTCATGCTTTCTTTCATGCTTAATAAAAAAAAATGAGTCTGATCTGATAAATGGAACATTGTTAAAAGTCAGAAAACATTCATGTTTCTCATTATACTTTTCATTTGTCACATGACTTTGATGAAGGACCCTCTTCTTGGTAAGAGAGTCATTAATCAACCAAAGGTATGTAGAACATTTTTTTTTAATGCAGATTTTTAATAAACTAAGCTAAAATAATGAATATTAGTTAAAAATTAAAACTCTAAGAATCATTTTATTTATTATACACTTTGAAGATTCACTGAATATTTTCTGCTTTTGAGTACAAAGTGAGAAAATTAATTTAGAGTTTAACTAGCCATAATTTTTTTTAAAGAAAAGCAGCAGCAGGTAATTTTATTTTATTTTTTGAAGCAATAAGAGACTATTGAGGAGGGAGAGGCATGTAAGTAATGAAGAATTCTTTCGTTTATATTAAAAGACATAATTTAAGTCACAGAGTTTGCAAGTGTGAGACCAGTGTTCCACAGGTTCTGCATTTTGAAGTTCTATGTAAGATTTGACCTGGACAATAAGTTGTACTGCAAAAATAATTTCAAAAACCTTTAATTTGTTCCATCTTCATAATGTAGTGATGAAGAAGCTGAGATTCAGAGTAAGTCCTGCTCTAGCTCAGTGATTATTCACATCTGATAGGTGTAATTGCACAAGATGCTTTTACATACTGTCACATTTGGCCATCACAGCAATTAGGTCACCCTGGCTAAGTAGATGTCAGTACCACCCTTTGCCAGATGAGGACACTGACACTTAGAGGGTTTTAACAACCTACTCAAGAGATAGAATGCCTCTCTCTACTTCTGTTCTTCCTATTCCCTCTCCAAAGCACTTTCTATCTGAACAGGCTGCTGCTTCTCCATTGTGGTCCTCTGTGTGTATATATGCTTCAGTTCAGGGAAGTTGCAGCATATAATTCATAGTATTTTAAAAGACTTCCATTGAAACTGCCATTATTAGAAATAATCGATCTCAAAACAGCATTCCTGTATATGAATACATGTAATAACGACAAACTCTAACCAGTAAGTACTCAGAATAGTATATAAGTTTTACATAGTCATTTTACAAGATTGGTGTGGGGAGGTGTGTATGCAAATTGCTTGATGTGTTTTTGTTTTGTAGCAGGTTTTAATAAAATGGTATATTTTTAATGTTAAAAGTTATGTTAAAGACTTTTAATTTGAACACTGTAGTATTGTAGGCATAAAGGTTCTTTTTTTCATAATATATCTTAATGAGATTAAAAAATTTAATTGGCTTTGCATAGTATATAGTATTCCTTTCAAGTGAACTAAACTTATATAGATTCTATATGTTAATTAAACACATTTGCTTAATTTATTATTATTATTTTTTTTAACCCTCACCCGAAGACATTTTTTCATTTTTTGTTCAGATAGAGTGGGAGGGAGAGAGAGAGAGAGAGAAACATTGGTGTGAAAGGGACACATTGAGTGGCTGCCTCCCGCACCACCCAACCGGGGCCAGGGACAAACTGCAACTGAGGTACGTGCCCTTAGCGGGAACCAAACCCGGGTCTCTCTGGACCACAGGCCAACACTCTAACTGCTGAGCCCTTACTGGCCAGGGCATATTTGCTTAATTTAGTAACAAATCTTAGAAGTGGGTGGGGAAAAATGTATTTGAGACTTCCCTGTGTTGTATGTTTTCCCTGTAGATTGAGACATGCCTAGAAACTTTCATTGGACTTTCAAGGGCCAGGAATGTATGGAAAAGCACACATTTTAAAAAAAGTGTCCTTATTAAAAATTTGTTTTGTGAGGATCTACTCATGTCCTAAGAAATAAAATAAATAAATAAATAATAAAGACCATATTATGTTCATATATATGTACACTAGATTTTATTTAATTATTCCTTTGTTTTCAAACATTTAAGACACTGAAGATGTTTCTGGACTTTTGCTATTGTTTAAAATAGCATTGAATTGCTTCTCGGCCTTTTGTCCAAGATCAAGTGTAGTATCTGTTCTTATCAGTTTAAAATAGCATTGAAATGAGAATCTTAGTACATGTATCTTTGCATGCTTTAATAATTTTCACAGAAGAGGCTCCTATAAGTAATATTATGGTACTAATTTACACTTTCACAAATTTAAAATAATTCTTGTACTGCCAAATATCACTAATATAAAATCACATATTCTTTTGCTAACATTAGTGATGGAAAATGGTTATCACAGTATATTAATTTGTGGGGTTTTTTTATTTTATTTTAGATAAAACTTTTTTTATATATTTACTAGTATAATTTTGTCATCTATAAGTGACATGGGTAGTCTATATCTTTCAACGTCTCTGATTTATGTAAAATAATATATACAGTCACAGAACCTGTGATGTTAACATAGGCTATCTCTAGGTTGGAGGATGGTGGTGTTTTCTTTAAACTTTGATGAGTTTCTGACCATATGATATTTTATAATAAAAAGATTGTTTTCTTTCTTGCAAGCCAAATACATAAAGTGAAACAACATACATATGTATTATTCAACATATATGAAATTTTGTTGTTTTTACAAGACTTATTCAACATGTGAAAGATTTGTCTATAAAAAGTGACCATTTTACTTGCCCAAAAGGAATGTTTTTCATCTTGCTAGCAGTGCAAATGAGGTAGGACTATGGAAAATTTTCACTGAGGATGTAGTAAATCTGATATTTTGAAGACAGCTCCATTTGTGAGATGCCAGATACCCTAACATATGGAAGAAGCAATACAGTGAAGTAGTTAAGCACACAGGCCCTGGAATCAAACGACTTCGATATTACTGCAAGCTTTACTACTTCTTGTGTGGCCTTGAGCAAGATAAGTTTATTTATGTGCCTCAGTTTTCTCATTTGTGAAATGGGGATATAAACAGAACCTACTCTTCAGGATGTTATAAAGACTAAATGAGGTATGATACAGAAAGCATCATGTTTATTTTTTCCTTTCTTGGTATGGTAAGTGTTCCCTGGATATATTTGCAACCATTTTTTGACCTTGTAAGTTCAAATTCATTAAGTAATGGTCATCATCATAAGTCCCGTACAATATTTGCTTTTCAGCATTTATTTATATTTTGTCATTTATAGTGTTTTGTCCTCAGATTGTTTCTGTTCTCTAGGATGAGAAGTTAGCATCACTAAAATCTTAATAGAAGTATAGCTTTTTATTGCCATATTTTGTAAGTGCAGAGATGAGGCTAAATATGGAGAGAGTCATTTAGAGTATGTTCTACTCTGTCTCTCCCACTGAATCCAGTTATAAATTCTGGACAGAATGCATGGAGGAGGACATTTATTTGAGGATTCTAAAAAATAAATAGCAGATGTGGTGGGGGAAAAGACCACAATTTGAAGTACCACTAAATTAGTTGTTACTTCACCATTTTTTCCTTGAATTGTCTGGCTTAGTTAGATTCAAGGCAACCAAATCTACAAGTGCACATTGGGGTGAATGGCGAGAGCTCCAGAAGTTTCCTAGTTTGAACTCTAGGAGGAAAGTGGTCTCCTGCTAGTGATAGGGTGGTAATGATGGTTCACAGGTACCTCATACTCTAAAGGGGGGAAACTTTCTTCTCTGATTAGACAATGCATGGGCCCAAGAGGACAGGGAAAACTCTTACTACTATTTTTCTATGTCTGTCTTCCACCACTTAGTCCAGATGCGGATGCAGTCACAGGAAATGAGTGGCAGAGAGGGGTAAACAAAATGCCATCTTGTTGCCAGGAGGATTGAAAATGGGAGCTTCAGGGAACCAGAAAGTAGGGACAGTACAGTGGGAGGAGGTGGGGAAAGGGATTTCATAGACTTATTTATAAATTTCTGAGCTCACTCTCAAGAAACTGCCAAATTGATATCCAAAGTGATCATACCATTTACTCTCCCAACCAAGATGTATAAGAGTTCCAGTTGTTCTACATCCTTGCCAACACTTAGTATTGGCAATCTTTTTAATATTATTTATTCCAATGCATACATGTAGTGATGTTATCATTGTAATTTTAATTTACATTTCCCTAATGACTAATGATGTTGAACATATTTCATTTTCTATTTGGCTATTTGTATGTCTTCTTCAGTGAAGTATCTGTTAGGATGATTTGTGTTGTTGTTCTTAAAGCTTGTTACTATCTTAAAGCTTGTTACTATCAAAGCTTGTTCTTTGTATATTATTATGGATGCAAGTTCTTTGTCAGACACATGTAATGTATTTCCTCACAGTGTGTGGCTTACTGTTCACTTTCTTAACAGTGATTTTGAGAGAGCTGACTATTTATAGTGGAAGAAATATAATTTGTTTTTCCTTTTTGTGTTTTGTTTTGTAAATCGTTGCTTAACAAAAGAGTATGAAGATTTTTTCCTCTACTTCTTTCAATTTTATAGTTTTAGCAATTACAGTTAGGTCTGTGATCCATTTCAAATAAATGTTTATTTGCTATGTGAAATGAGTTGAGGCTCAGTTCTTTTCTTCTATGAATATCCAGTTGTTCTTTAACTATTTGTTGACATGACTGTTTCTTTCTTCAATGAATTGCTCTGGAACTTTTGTTAAGAATCACCTGACTATATATGTTCTTATATTTATGGACCGTATTCTATTCCACTAATTTTTGTGTCTCTCTTCAAACAAATATTATACTATCTTGATCACTGTAGCTTCGTAGTGAGTCTTGAAATCAGAGAGTAAGTGCTTAAAATGTGTTCTTTTTAAAAAAACTTAGTTTAGGTAATTTTAAGTAATCAGCATTTATGTTTAAATCTCAGAACCAGTTTATTTTTATTATAAGGCTCTTTGAAATTTTACTGTGATGGCATTGAACTATATATCTTTTAGAAAAGAAATGACCTCTTAACATCAATCTATGAACATAGTATATGTCTTCCATTAGCTAATTCTTCATTAATTAATTACAGCAACTTTTTATAGTTTTGCTTGTACAGGTCTGGCACATATTATATTAAATTTATTCCTAGGAATTTAATTTTGATGCTATTATAAATGCATTTAAAAATTATTTTGCATTTGTTTCTTGTTAACAAGAAGGAACACAAATCATTCTTCTATATTGACTTTATATCCTGCTGCCTTGAAAATTTTACTCATTAATTCTAGTAGGTTTTTATAGATCCCTTACAATTTTCTGTGCTCATGATCAGTTCATCTGTGAACAAAGACATTTTAATTTTACTTTTCTCTATCCAACATGTGTGCCTTTTGTTCATTTTTTTCTTTCTTCCCTTCATAATATGGTTTTAACCTTCAGTACAACATTGGATAAAATGGTAAAAGAAGACATCATTTCCCAGTTAGGTGCTGGGGTAGGTGGGAGGAGCATTTAATATTTTAACAATAAGTATGGTGTTTGCTCTAGGGCTTTCATAAATACCTTTTATTAGGTTGAGGGAGTTTCTTTCTATTCATAGCTCCCTCAGAGTTTTTATCATGAAAGACTGCTGGTTCTATACCAATTGAGCACTAGGATTCTATCCCTTCTTCATCCTCTACACCCTCTGCTAGAATTATTTTGATGATTAAAAAAATAATGGCTGCTCAATAACAAGAGGTCTTTTATTCTATGCTCCTAAAAATTGAATCCTGGCCATGCTTACCTCTCTACTGCTGTCTCTTCTAACGAACTGAAAGAAACTAACCCAAAGGCCTTTATCCACTCACACAAATATACTCATCATTTATGCCTTTTCTGCTGAATGCATTTGCCACTCTGGACCATCTGCAACTGATAAGGCTAAACTTCTCTTTTTACTCAGGGGAAATAACTTGTAATGATACTCTTACTCTTTACTATGAATTGAGGACTTGCACTGTACCAGGGTGTGTGCTAAACCCTTTACAGTACATGCATATATTTTGTAGATGAAAGAGCTGAGGTTTAAAAAAGTAACTTGCTTAGTGTCATACATTCAGTAAGTGGGGCTACTAGGAGCTGAACTTAAGGGAATTCTAACTGCAAGCTTGAATTCTCAGAGTTCTTCACTATGGCACGTACTGCTTTCTGCTTATTCCCGACATTGCAGAACAAGGAGGATTGAATTGACACTGCAAACCTAGCTTATGCACCCTGTTTCAGGAGGAACGAGATACATTGCATTTGAGAAGCTCTGTTGGGAGGAATTTGAATGTTATTATTGTACTTCAGTCTTCAGGTAATTGTAAGTTCTTTTGAGTCTAGAACTTGGAAATATGTTTGCCAGTATTGATAAGCAAAGGTGGAATATTTTATTTTTTTCTTTGGTTTAAATCAATTCACTTCTTTCATGTTTTCTTTTTATTTGCTAATACAGGAGAAAAACAAGAGGATAACAGATGTAACACTTAGTCCTGTTGCTCATTATTATAGAATGACATAAAAACATGGCTTGCTTTATATAGACAGATGTGGTTTTATAAAGTAATCATGAATAGTCTTTTTTTGATTGACTTGAATAATTATGCACACAACTGGAGTTTATTTTCTGGAAAGGTCAATTTAACTTCCAATGGATCTCATTAGGTATTTATGATTTCCACTTCCACATTAGTGTGGTATAGGTTGAGATATATTTAACTCTACTTTGCTTTCAAGGACAATTTTTAGTGGAATAAGGTAGTTGCCTAGACATTAGAGTTGTAGTTACCTGCAATAATTCACTCTTAAGCCTTTTGAATTCTGCTTTTAAAATCTGTAGCTCATCCTTCCTTCTTTTTGTTTTCAGGTATCAAGAAATAGGGATTTTCAATGCACTTAGCTTATGCACAATAGTGGCTGAAGGAATTAATTTATTTAGTATGTCTATGATGACACTAACTTTCTTATTCAAGGTAGTTAAAATTTCAGCAGATGCTGAATTAATCCAGAAAACAGTTTTAATCTTGGGAATTGTTTTGAATGGCTGGTCTATCATTAAACAGTAATTAATCACCAAATGCTTGAAAAGGCTCATAACAAACAATGGAAAGTATATTTGATTGATAATATAAAATATTATATTATAACATTTAATGTATTTAATTATATGATGATAAATAGTACAATATTTCATTATTTACTCATGTACATTTTATATTTTTATATAGTGGTTATGTAGTAACTGTCTACTGTGTGATGATGAACAGTAGGACACTTTGTATTG